TCGTAGGGTCGTTACAACGACTCATAGGAGTCAGATGATGTATTTCACATGACTCACAGTTGTGAGTTAGAAGTTAGGCGTGACTCATAGCTATGAGTCACCAGGGTTAGGGTTTCTCAAAGGAAGACTATATAAGGAGGAGGACCTAGCTAGTTAGTTAGTTCCTTACGCGTTGTTCTAAGGACTTTCCTACATACAAGAATATATCTATATACCTTTATGTTACGCTAGGCAGATTGAAGAATGCCTAACTACCTATCACCTCGATAAGTGATTGAGATGTTGGTACCTTCCTCATCGGCATTACCAGGTCATAGTCAGTGGACTTCACGACATCGGTAACGTAGGCATCGGCCTAAGAACGATGAACGAAGTATTAATGGTTGTCACCTATTGGATCTCGAATACCACGGGTAGGATCGTTACAGGAGGCAATGAAGAGAGGAACCAAGTTGAGGGTATATCAACTCGAGACCGAGCTGGCGAGGGAGAGGGGAGCAAGGGAGGCCCTGGAAAGAGAGTTGGAGAGCCAGGCGGAAGAGGCTAGGAGACATTCGGACAGGACCGCAAGAGCAGTCCGAAGGATCAATCGCAGCTACTACCACGGAGAAAAGAGCTGGAGGGACCACCAAGGGGGATGGAGGCGCGAATAAAGCCCGATGGGACTCGGGCTGAGGGAGAGGGAAGCTAATGTCACAAACTGTGGCTAGGCAAGGGAGATTTCACATAGCTCAGAATTCCGAGCTACAGGTATGTTGGGATTTCACATGACGCACACTAGTGCGCCATAGGTTATTATATCTACCTGCTTGTAACTCACAGTTGTGAGTCACACGATGTTATGACTTTCGAACATGACTCAAATTATGAGTCATGAGTTTCACTCAGGTGATGCGAGTTGCACACCTGACTTGGTTATTATGTTGTGATTGATTTTAGGTATGTTGCGCAGCGACTCCTAGGAGTCAGCTGAGGGATTTCACATGACTCATAGTTATGAGTCACCAGACTCGTGTGACGCATAAGTATGAGTCACGCTAGGTGAAGAGCTACTATATAAAGAGTCACTAGGACCCTTAGTATTAGCTCTTCACACGTTCTTCTTGTTTATTTCCTACCTTCAAGTTATTACAATAAAACCTACCTTTACGCTCTTTAAGATTTATCATAAGAATCCCGAGAATTGTCTTTCCTCCCCCAAGAGAAAACTACTTCTCATCCTACGAACGAAGCTTAAGTTATAAGCAGAGACTTAAGAAGAATCAGAGGAATAGGCGCGATAAGATAGAAGTCGAAAGGACTTGACTATCGATATCTCGTAGGCATAGGCCTGAGAACTATTACCTCGTGTTCGATAAGAATCATTACCTGTCGCATCACTCGCCCAACCGGTAGGATTCTTAACACCCTACCCCTCCTCGCTTAGGCGTTGGCGCGGTCGGCAACACCTTTTCCACCAACAGAAGATGGCTGGGACTACACTTTGCAGTAGGAGAGAACACCCTTTAGGCTTCAGTTGATCTCTCTATTCTCTTGCTCCCCTAAGAGGCTGCCTAGTGGGACATGAACATGATAACTGATAGCTGTTGGCCACGGTCTTGGGTCCACCCCTCCACTTCTCTTTGAGGCCTTTTTGGCTGGCAGGTGGTGGGATCCCTTCCACTACAGTGATGCTATCTCTCCCAGAACAAGGGACTACATGAGAGATGCGGTAAAACATCTGCTTCACTTAGGGCTCTACTCTATGGTCTGATCAGCTGGTACCCTACTGCCACACCCTCTCAAGCTGGCACCTTACTGCCTTAATCGTCGATTGTCCCAGAGGACACATGGTAAGTAGCATGCCTGCCACACACCTCCTCTCCTCGCTTCTCGGGCGCCACCTTTGGGGTGGTTTCCCTTATACCCTTTGCATCCACTGGCAGGGCTACAGCTCCCTCCTCCTGGCCCTCATCATCTGGCCTAGGGGTCCCCATTGACGGGATTTGAGTTGTGATCATTGGCCCTTAGGAGTTTGGTTTGGGTTACTGCCTTTAGGTGTTTCATTCTTGGGGTTGGGTGCATTCTTGGTTCACTGTCAGGTAGCTAGCTTTCTTTTGTCACTTGGCGGTAGGGGTTATTGGATGGAGCAGTTGACGTGATGGATTATAGGTGGGAGTAGTTTTTTCTACCCCCTAGGGTTTTTTTTAGCTCTGTTGTTAGGCCTGGGCTAGGGGGGGGGTGGTTTTTTTAGGTGTTATAGCTAGTGCTCTATATGCCTTTTTGTCCCATAAACAAAATAATAAAATGAGTCAAACAAAAAAAAAAAAAAAAAAAAATCTTGTACACCAAGGGAAAGATACCGTATAAGTAGACATATCCAACAAGCAATAGAGAATTGGTACTTATGTAAGTACAAAACCCTGAATCCTTGCTTGGATTGCTGTACTCGAGTACCGTCAAGACCCCCTTCTAAACAGACAATAACACCTCCTATTCAAGCAAATGATCTGCAGTCCCTAAGGGTCAGAGACGTCTATTGGTTGGATCATCGCCAGAGGAGCTCAGCCATTCCCCTTCAATTAAAGGATGGCAAGAATACTCGAGTAGAGAGGGTGGAAGGTGTTGTGGCTGGAATGACAGGTCAGACTAGTAACATGCTTTTGAAATCCCTTTACCTTACCAGTCAAAGCCTATTTTGAGTTGGTGTCACGCTTTACAAGAATTTTCATCACAAAATGGAGGTATCGAATTACAAGAGCTTTTTTTTATTTTTTTTATTTTAAAGCCGGCCCGGCCTATACAAAGAAATCCCAGGACAACGCCGTTCTCCCGAACCAGCCTCGCATCGGGGCCCGCAGGCGTAACGGTATCGATGCAGTGTTGATAGGTTGGCGTTTGACTGGCTGATCTACTCCGGTTTACTCGTTCGTTTATTAATACCCCAACAGTGCTTAGAAATAGATAGAGAGCAGAAGAGGTGACAGGAGAAAGGGAAGGACCAGGTGAAGGTGAGGTGAACTCACTGCTTCGACACTCCCCCCCCGGCTTGGCCCATAAAAATCTGGGTTTCTTTTTTAGTTTTTCTTTTTTTTTCCCAACCCCATAGCCGGCCCGGCTCGTAAAAAAAAAAGAAATAAAAATTTATTTCTTTTAGTCTCCCCCGCTCCATTCTCCACAACAGTCGTATGCGATCTTTCCACAAACCATAAGGATCTTCGCCAGACGTTAGTGTGAGATCTAGTAAATTGGGTGGGCTATTCAGAGTGTACCGGAACCAAAAGCATACGCAAACCAACCAGCATCATGCCATCGTGTCTTTCAATTTTTGCTCCTAAGGTCTTGAACTCGGCACGGATCTTACCCTCGAGTTTTTCGACTTTGCGATCCAACTTCTCTAAGGCTTCACTCACACCCCGCAGCATAGCAACATCCTGACGGGCTTCAGTAAACGGTCCCGAATGCCCTATTGTCTATTATTTTAGGGTAATGCTTACCTTCTCAATCGCAGAAAGGCGATTTGTATTTTGAGTGTGATGATCTAAAAACCTTTCCCATGTGACATGGCGTGGACTTCTAGAGGATTGATCACCGTCTATTTTTCTCTAAGCAAACGAGTTAGTAGAAGTAGCTCACTATTATTGATTGATTAAAATCAATGTCTTACCGTGGAAGTAGGGTGAAAGCTGTTGTGAAACACCCTCACCCGGCCCATGCGAAGGCAGTGATCCCAAGCGGCTAGTCCGTCCGGTTTTGAGTACGGCCGTACTGGCCCAGGATTTTTCAGGGACGCCCGGGCCGGACTGTGGGAACGCGGCTTTTCCAAACCAAAGCCGGGCCCTGCCTGGGTCACCCGCAGGCCGATGTTTCAAGGGATCGCGTGTGTTTCATTACTAAGAAATATTTCATTATTCAACAGAACTAACTATTTCATGAGGACAATACATATTCACCCGGGGTGGCCAGAGAGTTGTGTGCAGAATAGTATAGTGTATTGAGGTAGGCCAGCATATTTGGGTACAGCGGGGGTTCATCGCTGGATGTCATACATTTACCTTAAGCGATATCTATAGTGTATGTTGCTCCTGATATCTTGTTCCGAGTGATTAAAAGTGGAAAGCCTGCAGGCTGTCCATAGATATCTTCAGATTACCTAGGCATCTAGCGGCTCTAACCGAGGTTGGGCCAAGACTCGACCCGGCGGTTGCCTGGGCACCGCCGGGCTTTGGCAGCCGCAGAGAATTTTGACCGGATTGGCCGCTTAGGATAACGGTGCGAAGGCGAGTGGCGGTGAGCAGGATATTGCGGGCCGTGATGGTATTCATTATAATTTGTCGAAAGGAAGGTTGTAGGAAATGATTGAGTGATCTATCAAATAGAAAAAAAGATAGTTGTGAGCAATGATTGGATGATGTATCAAAAAGAAAAACGAGGATTGCTGGTGAGAAGGAGAAAATGAGGAAACGAGGGAGTGGGGGGTTAAATACGCAAGAGCAGGGACCGGGTAACTGGGGCAGGTAGAGATACATCTGGCAGATCACCCGGAACTATCATACGTCGTGCCTTGCCAAGTTATGAAGTATGAACCTTTTCAACACCATGCTCTTGGCAGAAGACCCTTCGGATACCATAGACCGAGAATGATGCTGTAGGAGCAGCGCAGAAGATGTGGATTTTGTGAGTTTTGTGGTACTTACTATCTGGGGTCACAATATATTTGATATGGGTTTCGTGGTGTAGCTAGTTCTACACTACGTCCATTGTGACTTTTCCTAGGCTAAACATAACTAGATAAATCTTGACAGGGGCCGAGGACTCCTGGAACGGTCCCAACGTACACACCAATATTTTGTTTCTCCTCCTTTTTTGTTCTCTTTTTTACCTTCTCTCTTTTACTTCCCTACTTTTCCCCCACACTTTCCCACTTGTGAATATAATGTTGGAGACCGTTAAGAACGAGTTGGGTGCTGTCCGTAGAAATGGACTATGGATGTTTACGGGAAGATGGAGACATTCTTTGGGTTCCCTCATGGCATTCATTACTGGGCGGCGTTGCTTGTTTATCCTTTGTTTGTTTTTTTCTCTCCATTTCATCCTGGGCTGTCTATATTTGTGAATAAACATCTGCTTTTCTCTATAGGATATCACAAAACCATTCATCGGTGATCACCCACCGAAACCATCTATTCCGTCAAGTACCGGGAATCTACCGCCGGTATGACAGTCTAAGATTGTTATTCAGCATCTATCTCCGTCGTTTTATGTATCTGGTTCCCAGAAATAGTTCTCTACTTATTACTGAGTCTTACAGCTATATTGGTAGCCTCCTGGATTGTCTTCGCAATGGTCGAGGGAGCTTTTCTGCTATCTAAGATGAGGAAGCCATGGATGGTGCGGCGGGCCAGAGTGGAAACCTGCTCTCTGATGATTGCCGGTGGCTGGCCAGCAAAAACCATTCTATCGGCATCTTGCATGGCTACAATAAGCCCCCGCATACCCAACCACATCAACAAATGAACAAATAAACAAACGGGGAAACAGTGCCACAATATCTCACTCTGAGCAGTCATCGTCTGGGCTTCCTCCTCGGCAATCCTACCATGACCCCTCCATCAGCTATGGCCTCAACGATAAGAGCGTAGAAAGCTGGACCTGAACCGTACAGGGGGGTGCAAGCATCCGTATATCCTCGCCGAGCACCCACGAGCGGCCGAGGTGGGAGAATATCCAGGAAACCAGAACCTTCTCCTCCTGCAGAATATCGTCTGCGGGCGAAATGACGGTCATGTTTTCGCAAATCTATCGACGTCAATACCCTGCCCCTCCCAGGGAAAAAACAAAAACAAATACCCCTCCGAAGGGTAATAGGTGACAGTCGTGCTTTTGAACCAGTATTTGGCATAGCCCTAACCACCCTAGTACTATCGGGCGCCACCTCCTTAAGCACAGAAATCTTAGGGCCTGTTTGGTAAAAAAGGAAGAAGTGGCAACCATTCCGTTGCGAAATGGGTTGACTGGTAGAAAAGGTTGTTGCTAACGGTCAGCCATTGAAACGGATAGGTTGATGATAGCCGGTGTGCCAAACGGCCTTTTGGCAACAGCCTTTTCTAAAAGGAAGGAGATGGTCATTTGTATGGGCCAACGGAAGGGAACCACTTCATCCAAACAGGCCCTTTAACAGGTGAGGACACCTGGAATTGATATTGCGCAAAGTGCTGACGAATCAAGTTTCTTTTGTAGCGGGCGGGTTTGCGGGATTAGACTAGGTGTGGCGTGGTGAAACTTGTGGTTAGTTTTGAGGGGGCGCGTCACCGCGGAAGAGCAATGATAGATCTGCGGTATTCCTGTCCAAAACGCAGGAGGCTGATTGTGGGTTTGTGTTTTCTCTTCCTCTTTTGCCTGCTCCGGGTGAACCCTCCCCCCTCCTGCCTCCGTGTTGAGATCTAATATGTTTTTTTTTTTTTGCACCGGCACTGTATGGCTGGTGGTGTATGGTGATTTACGACAAGTTATTGTGCTCGAGTACGAGTGCAGCCGATAAATATATTCGTCACGTGCCTTATGTAAGGACACATCGCAGCCAAAAGGCGCACCGAAATTTTCTTATCAGACTCACGTGACGAATATACCTATCGGTCGCACGCGTACTACTCGTGCCAAGGTTGCAGCTAGGGCGCTGCAACCCCCGAAAATTCGCTGGCTCAGTTTTCGGGGGCACTCATCCTGAGTGCCCGACAGCTCAACGTCAATTTGCAGCTCAACGTCAGTTTGTGGCTCAATGCAGTTTGCAG